AGAGGGTCACCTTTGCAGAGGGCTGTCTACTGAAGACTTCCCTAGGGAGAGAGGCTCAACTCCCTTGAGGACGAGGGTAACTACCCTCAGGTAAGCTAAAAAGAAAAATCTTAGTCCGAAATGACCAAGTATGTTTTAGGGATAGGACAAGAACAAAAAGATTGGAGGAGGAAGGATGGGAGGGGGCTTATAAAACGTTATTTTAATTATACGTTCCTGTCTAATTAGGGATAGAAGGGGCTACCCATTGTTGTGCTGGCATGGATATGGCCAAAAATAAATAAATAAATAAATAAATATATATATATATATATGTGTGTGTGTGTGTGTGTGTAATTTCATTTTAACTGTACTGTATTTTAATATCAATATATGATATCAATATGTACACTTAGAAGGAAAAAATATTTTATATATATATAGTTACATAAATAATTACATAAACATGGAATATATATATTTAAATTCAATGTGTATATCTATGTAATCGTTTTAAATAATTATGTGATTTTCTTAATTACAATTTGAAGGACCTGCCTGAAAACCCAGGCAGAAACTCCAGAGAATATAATTTGGACGGTCTCAAAGGCAACATAACCAATTTGGTAAATTTCAATGTGCAATAATGGTAATGAGCACGTTTACATTTGACCCTGTAATTTTTTAAAACACCAAAAATCCTGAACATGGGGGTGCTTTTGTACTCATGAAACATTGCTGAATACAAATATGAGTATTTTGGAGCAGTGAAATGTATAATGCTGATTATATTGTCCAGGGAAAGGGCAGTTTATTTGTGAAAAATGCAAAAAAAATTTATATGAACACTAACTTTGCCAGGGCTTGTGACTAACTGGCTACTAAAAAATGCTGTACATACCCCATTTTAAATACCGTGGGTTATCTACTTGTGCAAATGGTATGCCATGATGCTGGTCATTTTAATTCCTGGGCTGCCATACGGTCTCAAAGGCAACATATGACCAGAAAAACAATCTGGCAAATTTCAATTGCAAATACAGAAAAGGGGAAAGCCCTATATATAAACCCATAACTTTTCAAAACCCCATAAATCCTGTATATGGGGGATACTGTTGTATGCATGAGACATCGTTGAACACAAATATGTTTATTTTATTGCAGTAAAAACTAACAGTATTATGGCATTCACAGTTAAAATGCCACACAGAACTAACATTTCTTAATTTCTCAAACCGTTTTTCAGATTTTATTCATATTAAGTTATGTTTAATATATAGTATTTTATGCGTTCTCCTGAACAAAATTGTATATAATAAGTGTAGGTGCACATAATAAAAGAGGCGAATTATGGTTGAACAGACATACAGCACATATTCTAGGTTTTGTTTACATTTTGTTTTGATCAGAACGTGTGCAATTGCTTCTGTCCTTAAGGGGTTATTTAACACAAGATGGAAAAAATTTAAAATATTACAATCAAACATTATAAAAGTTCTATTTTATTTTAAACCAGATATATAATAATCTAATGGTAACTCAGAATTGGCATTGCAAAAGAGCCTGATATTGCATAGCAATTAGGCCAGGCAATATTTACCTGGCCTGATTGCATGTCAGTAACTGATTTTGCATGTCAGCATAGTCCTAGTTAGCATTTTTACTACTTTTTTGTCTGTCCCAATTGTCTTCCTAGATATTTTTCAAAACCAAAATTTGGCGCAACCGTGGTATGAACTAAATTTTCCCATCCCCAAATGTCTTTCTCTGTGGAAGTGGTTCAAAAGACCTATGTCTATCCTCTGTCTGTACTCCCACATCTGATGCTCACCTCCAAGACTTCTCCAGGACTGCACAATCTCTGTGGAACTCCCTTCCTCTCTCTGTTAGACTTTCACCCCAGTCTTCACTCCTTCAAAAAATCATTGAAAACACACTTCTTCAGGAAAGCATATAATTTAAATTGTTAGCGGATTTTCATTCCTCCCCACCCCCATGACTCCTCTCCTGCAACTGTCAAAAATAACCTACTAAGTTCCCAGTGAATACGTTCCTAGCAACCTACTTCATACCCCTACTTATACACTTTGTGTCACTATACCCCACTCCCTCTAGTATGTAAGTTAATAGAGCAGAGCCCTCAACCCCTCTGTTCCTGTGCATCCATTTGTCTGGTTACAATTACGTGTCTGTTAGTCCACCTATTGTACAATGCTATGCAATTTTGCTGGTGCTGTATGTATAATAATAAAGTAATAATAATAATAAAAACAACCACATTTTTTCTCTGCATAAATCTAGCCTTGGTTGGATCCTGGCAGTTAACTTCTACTTGAATCCTCTGGTCTACACCTCAGTGGCGTACTAAGGAGAGGTGGGGGGTGAGGTTGTCTGCCCCAGTTGCCACAATGTCCAAAACATGTTTCTCTCTTACATGTTCGTATTCCTCCCAGTTACCTCTGTGCATGTCTGCCATCATGCTAGCGACACATTTGGTGACACCAGGTCTGGCCAGGCTTGTGGTTGTGTGAGCTGTGTGGCTGCACAGGGCGTCATAGCAGCAGGGGCGCTGGGCAGCTGACACAGCTCACACATGCAGGGGCTGAGAATGCAGAAGGAGTACTGCATGGGGCAGAGCCAAATTGGCTGTTGGGGCAGAGCCAAATCGAATGCGGGGATGGAGCTAAAGGCAGCCTCCACTCGTTGCTCTTACTGTAGCACACTGAGGGGAAGCAGGAAGGAGTCCCTGCTTCCCCAAATACAACAAATCAGGGACTTCAGTGACTCCACTCCTCCACCATCCAGAGCATACTGTCAGTAAGTGAGAGTGGCTTTGTGTGTGTGTGTAACTGGGATTGTGTCTGTCTGTCTCTGTGTGTGTAACTGTCTGCCTGTGACTGTCTGTCTGTGACTGTGTGTGTGATGGTCTGTCTGTGACTCTGTGTCTGTCTGCCTGTGAATGTGTGTGTGACTGTGTGTGACTGTCTGCCTGTGACTGTGTGTGACTGTCTGCCTGTGACTGCATTTGTGACTGTCTGCTTGTGACTATCTGATTGTGTGTGTGTGTGTGTGACTGTCTACCTTTAACTGTCTACCTTTGACTGTGTGTTGCTGTCTGCCTGTGACTGCATATGTGACTGTCTGCTTGTGACTATCTGACTTTGTGTGTGTGTGTGTGTGTGTGTGTGTGTGTGTGTGTGAGACTGTCTGCCTGTGCATGTGTGTGTGAATGTCTGCTTGTGACTGTCTGCCTGTAACTGTGTGTGTGTCTGTCTGCCTGTGGCTGTATGTGTGTTTGTCTGCCTGTGACTGTGTGTGAGGGACTATGTGTCTAGGACTGTGTGCATGTGGCTGTATTTGACAGTATACGTGTATAACTGTGTGCGCCCTTATGTGTGATTTCCATATTTATAGATTCCAAATTAGATTGCTGTTTAGCAGATAGCTCCTTTATTTTGGGTCCTTAAATATGGCAATCCCACTTAAGGATAGCAAATAGGGGAGTTATCTGTTAAACAAAGATCGAAGTTAAGAGGTGTCATCCAGCCTACAACAATAAATCTGGGTGGCTAATGTGAATAATATGCAAATTTGTTGACTGATGACAACGTGCACTGCATGCTGGCATCAAGCAGCCAATGGCCGCACATTACCCCATCCCTTAGTGAAAAGTTTTAGTGTCCCCCCAGTTTTTACTGTGGTATTCTATGTGCCCACCCCTCCCCCTATATATTGTTCCTAGAGTCGCCACTGTGTCTACATGTGTGTCTGTGTATTTGTGTGTGACTGTGTGTCTATGTATCTGAATGTCTGTCAATGTGTGTATATATATATGTGTATATGTGCATATATCTCAGAATCTTGCCAACACACAAATACACACCTGCATTTCAACATCAACCCTACATACAAACCCCACCATTATATATAATCATACCACTGCATTCAAAAACTATACTACATAAAAAAGCATGCCTGCATTCAAACACCAGCACCACATACAAACACACCCTCTACATTCACTTACACATACTCCATACAAAAGCATGCTTACATTCAAAAACATAAACACTGCTTAGTGCTAAATACATTTTAAAAAATTGCGGTTGTTTTTTACATTTTAAATTTGGGGGGTGCCAAAAATAGGATCTGCCCTGGGTGCCACATACTCTTGGTATTTATTTTTTACCTAGCATATTGCTGTACACTCCTTATTTATTACGTAAGGGATTTTTTTATGCACTCCACTATTGTCACTGGTGGCAACTTGTTTCCACTCAGTTCCCTTGTGTTTACCTATAGATTTTTGTGTGTAGTTAAGGAGATACTCACACTTTGTGGTAGCTGCTAATTCTTGATATTGACTAAATAAGAAGCACCATTTACACAGAACACCCTTGGATTTCTTTAAAAAACTTAATTTAGCCTGAAAAGATTAACGTTCTAAAATATGTACTTGAAAATACAATTTGCTACTGTACAAATAAACTAAAAACAGATACCAATTAAAAAATTCAGGGCTACTCATTAATTTATGAGGAAGAAAATGTGTTAGACATTTACACTATTAACACATTGTAGAGTGTACATCACTAACCAGGATTTACCTTTCGGGGTACAAAGATTTAAATACTGGTCTCCTAGTTTAGTGAACAGTCCACAGGGTTGACAAATGTATTTCAAAGACAGTTGGAGGTACTACCAATCAATGTCATAATTCACTTTCTATGCCCAAAACATGTTGCTCTCTTACATGTTCGTATTCCTCCCAGTTACCTCTGTGCATGTCTGCCATCATGCTAGCGACACATTTTGATGACCCCAGTACGGAACCTAACAAATAATTTTTCCAAGTCACGGGTTAATCTGAGTTTAAGATTTTTTATTAATTTGTAAAACAAAAGTTTCGGTGTCTGTAAAGTACCTGATAATAATTATACTTAAAGGGACACTATAGTCACCTGAACAACTTTAGCTTAATGAAGCAGTTTTGGTGTATAGAAAATGCCCCTGCAGCCTCACTGCTCAATCCTCTGCCATTTAGGAGTTAAATCCCTTTGTTTATGAACCCTAGTCACACCTCCCTGCATGTGACTTGCACAGCCTTCCATAAACACTTCCTGTAAAGAGAGCCCTTTTTAGGCTTTCTTTATTGCAAGTTCTGTTTAATTGAGATTTTCTTATCCCCTGCTATGTTAATAGCTTGCTAGACCCTGCAAGAGCCTCCTGTAACTTCAATGTAGTGATTGAGATACAATTATTTAAGGTAAATTACATCTGTTTGAAAGTGAAACCAGTTTTTTGTTTTTTTTTCATGCAGGCTCCATCAGTCATAGCCAGGGGAGGTGTGGCTAGGGCTGCATAAACAGAAACAAAGTGATTTAACTCCTAAATGACAGTGAATTGAGCAGTGAAATTGCAGGGGAATGATCTATACACTAAAACTGCTTTATTTAGCTAAAGTAATTTAGGTGACTATAGTGTTCCTTTAAAGGAAATATCCTTTTTTGGGTCTCTGCAAGATAAAACCATTAATAATAGTGTGTGGGTGGAAATAGTAGAAAACCCTTATTTGTATTAAATTCCAGTACTCAAACTATTTTTCATTTGAACTTACTATGCTGTTTACAGTGGATCCTCGAGGTGAACAGCAATCCTTCAATTTGTCAGTTTTTAGGATTGCTGAGATACAAATTCTCCCATCCTTTTCTATCCTAGTCTTGTAGGAGCTCAGAATATTTGATGTGTATAAGTTTATAAGAAACATCCGCAACAATAAAACTTGCAGCAATGTATATTTAATGCACTGGCGTACATACCAGGGTCGCAGGGGTCGCGACTGCGACCGGGCCCGGCCCACCAGGGGGCCCGGCCGCCCCTGCGACCCGGTATGTACGCCCAGGGCCAGCCTCTTCCCCTGGGGGGCCCAGGAGCCGACCACCCCAGGGCCCCCCTGAGGCTGGCCTTGCTGACCCCGGGTGGCCGGTCGGGCAGGCAGGCGCGCGCGCGAGGGAGCACTCGTGTTTCTTCAGCTCCCTCGCGCACCGCAATGATACCGGAGCCGGAAGATGACGTCATCATTCCGCGCCCGGCATCCCTACGCGCGCGCGCGAGTGGAGCTGAAGAGGAAAGCACGGAGTGTGCTCCCTCGCGCGCGCCCTGCCCTGCCCCCGCCACACCCCCCAGAGCCCCAGCAGCACCACTGGACCCCAGGGAATAATCCCCCCCAGCACTCCAAAAGGTAAGGAGGCTGGGGGGGATTATATTAAAAAAAATCATGTGTTAGTGTGAGTGTTAGAGTGAGTGTAGAGTGAGTGTTAGAGTGAGTGTTAGTGTGAGTGTTAGAGTGTGTGAGTGTTAGAGTGAGTGTTAGAGTGAGTGTTAGAGTGAGTGTTAATGTGAGTGTTAGTGTGTGTGTCTGCTAGTGAGTGTCAGTGAGTGTTACTGTGTGTGTCTTACTGAGTGTGTGTGTGTTAGTGAGTCTGTTTGATGTCTGTTAGTGAGTGTGTGTTTGTCAATGAGAGTGTATGTTTTGTAAGTGAGTATGTATGTCTGTCGCTGACTGTATCTCTGTCAGTAAATGTGTGTGTCTGTTAGCTAGTGTGTATGCATCTGTAAGTGAGAGTGTGTGTGTCTTCAGCACTTACCTTTCTCCAGCGCCGGACTCCCTTGGCGCTGAGGATCCCTCAGCCTCTCAGCTCCGAATGCGACCGCGCACGCATTCAAACCGCCCATAGGAAAGCATTACTCAATGCTTTCCTATGGACGCTCAGTGTGCTCCTCTAGCGGCTGTCAGTGAGACAGCCACTAGAGGCTGGATTAACCCTCAGTGAAACATAGCAGTTTCTCTGAAACCGCTATGTTTTCAGCTGCAGGGTTAAAACTAGAGGGACCTGACACCCAGACAACTTCATTGAGCTGATGTGATCTGGGTGTCTGTAGTGGTCCTTTAAAGGACCACTATAGTGCCAGGAAAACATACTCGTTTTCCTGGCACTATAGTGCCCTGAGGGTGCCCCCACCCTCAGGGACCCCCTCCGCCCGGCTCTGGAAAGGGGTAAAACTTACCTTTTTCCACCGCTGGGCGGAGAGCTCTCCTCCTCCGATCCTCCTCTTCTCCTCCCCGTCGGCTGTATGCGCACGCGCGGCAAGAGCTGTGCACGCATTCAGCCGGTCACATAGGAAAGCATTCATAATGCTTTCCTATGGACGCTGCGTGCTCTCACTGTGAAAATCACAGTGAGAAGCACGCAAGCGCCTCTAGCGGCTGTCAATGGGACAGCCACTAGAGGAAATAGGGGAAGGCTTAACCCATTCATAAACACAGCAGTTTCTCTGAAACTGATATGTTTATGAAAAAATGGGTTAACCCTAGCTCGACCTGGCACCCAGACCACTTCATTAAGCTGAAGTGGTCTGGGTGCCCAGAGTGGTCCTTTAAGTGTGTGTGCATCTGCATGCACTGGCGTACATACCGCGGTCGCAGGGGTCGCAGCCCTGTAACCCCTGCGACCAGGTGCCCACCGCCATGTGTTGCGGCCCGGCCCGCGCGGGGGGGGCCCACGGATCAATTTTCGCACCGGGGCCCCATGGGTCATGTGTACGCCACTGATTTAATGCACAGTAAGTGAGTTTATTTTGCAAATATAAAGACAACATTCATACAGCCGTACTCTTTGGTCAAAAATTAAGCCATACCCATTGCAACAAAACGGCCCATCTCTGATTGCTCTGACTTTTTGGAAAATTGGGGGGTATGACAGCAGGAAAGCTTCATATCATTGTATGACCATTGGCTGCATCTAGAAACATATATCCCTCTCCAAAAGACGTCACCAGGGCCGGATTAAGAGCCCATTAGGCTTTGTGTTGACAATTATGATGGGCGTAATTACAGAATCTTATTGACAGAAAACACTAAAACAGTTATATTTCCCAAGTGTCATGTATCTGGTGGAGGTGGTGCTGGAGGGAAACTCACAGGATATTGCTATCAGAAAACACATTCCCTATGCTAGTCTCTCGCGTTCATCTTTCAAGTAAATCCTAACAGCAGTGTCTGGTGTAGCAGGATTTCCGTGGGTGTGGTAGAATGGTGGGCCACTAATGTGTATAACGTAAACAGAACTGCCCAAAGGGACAATTATGCCCAAAAAGTGGGCGTGTCTGCACAAAGAATTAGATGAATGCACATCAGGCTGCCTTCCAATCATGCAGGATGAACAACCAAGGGCATACTGTGCAGACAGCACCGTGAGCTTGTCATAAATGTGTCTAATGATACGCTCGCTCCATGCTTTCTAAGGACTGTTCCCTAGCACTCGCAGGTCCACTCCTCTCCTAACCGTCTTACTACCAGACAGAAGCTCATTTTATACAGTCTGGGACAAGAAAAAAAGTGTATGTAGCGAGTGCAGAAGAAATGAAACATGCCACAGTGTTGGAGAGACTGAAGCAGCAAGAGCATTTGCATAGTGCGCAGTCAGCTTTACCTTAACTAATTTATTGTCAGCCAATCCACACCAGTTTTGTTCACATTTCCATACTTAAGTAAGAGCATGTGGAGTAGTAAAAATACATTTATGTATATATATATACACACACACACACACACATATACACACACATATACACATACTATTATTTATAAATCAATGGGCCTATTCCATAGGCATGGGCAGGGGCAGACTGACCACTCGGGCATATCGGTTATGGCCCGAGGGCCCAAGACAGCCAGGGGCCCGGCTGCACAGCCATGCTCCAGCTGGAGAGATTAGAGATCTCTCCAACTGGAACGGCAAAATTAAAAAAAAAAAATCTCTTTCATTAATAGGTTGCTGAGGCCCCTGATGGAGCGCAGGGCCCCAGCAACCTACCGCTCAGCATATCAAAACACCCTCCTCCCTCCCACTTAATGAGACCTGGTAGCGTCATCTCCTCCCTGCCAGGTCTCCTGCTTCCTGTCCCACGCGGCTCTGTGTGATGGGGAGAGGCGGGTCCTGTTTACTCCTCTCACACAGAGCCCGATCAGCGAGGGGAAGGAGCAGCAGCCTGGGAGACTAGAGACCAGACTGAGCAAAGAGAAAGGTAGGCACTAGTCACCCCCTCCCTCCCTCTGTCACTGTGTCACCCCCTTATTCTCACTAGTCACCCCCTCCCTCTGTCACTTGTCACTCCCTCCCTCTGTCACTGTGTCACCCCCTTCCTCACTCTGTCACTAGTCACCCCCTCCCTCCCTCTGTCACTGTGTCACCCCCTTACTCTCACTAGTCACCCCCTCACTCTGTCACTTGTCACTCCCTCCCTCTGTCACTGTGTCACCCCCTTCCTCACTCTGTCACTAGTCACCCCCTCACTCTCTCACTAGTCACCCCCTCCCTCACTCTGTCAGTAGTCATCCCCTCCCTCACTCTGTCAGTAGTTACCCCCTCCCTCACTCGGTTACTAGTCACCCCCTCCCTCACTCTGTCACTGTGTCACCCCCTCACTCTGTCACTAGTCACCCCCTCCCTCTGTCACTGTGTCACCCCTTCCCTCCCTCACTGTCACTAGTCACCCTCCCTCCCTCACTCTGTCACTAGTGACCCCTCCTCCCTCACTCTGTCACTAGTCACCCTCCCTCACTCTGTCGCTAGTCACCCTCCCTCACTCTGTCACTAGTCACCCTCCCTCTGTCAATAATCACCCCCTCACTCTGTCACTAGTCACCCCCTCACTCTGTCACCAGTCATCCCTTCCCTCCCTCACTCTGCCACCAGGTACCTCCTCACTCTGCCACCTGTCACCACCTCCCACACTCTTCCACCTGTCACATATCCATTCACACTGGCCCTATATACAAAAAAGCACATGTAGTCATCCAGACATGCACAAGTGCATTCACACGGACTCAAATACAAACATGCATTGATACACAGGTCTTCACAATATACACATCCAAAGGAATGCCGTATTATATGAGAGTTATATTTAAAGGGACACTATAGTCACCCAGACCACTTCAGCTCAATGAAGTGGTCTGGTTGCCAGGTCCCTCGGGTTTTATATACGTAACTCGAAAAGACCACCCAAGTGCAGCAAATTGATAATAAAAATAAGGTTAAATTACTTCCCTTAATGGTCTAGGTTGTAACAAAGGGTTCCTCAAAGCCTCATAGAATACATACAAAATACAAGATACACCTAGATAAAAAACACAAAAAAGAAAGGAACGATCATAGGGAA